GGTTGTTATTAGTGTTTTGAATTTGGAAATTTGGATGTAGGGGAGGATTGGATAAATTGATGGGGGTGGTTTAAGGGAAAGTATTAATGATTTGTTTGGGATAGAATAAAAAATATATATGATTTTTGTATGTTGGTAGTTAAGGGATTTTGTAGGGGGGGTTGAGTTGTGTTAGTGGGGGGGAGGGTGTAGGGGGGGGGGGATGAATTTGAGTTTGGGTGATAGGGATATAGTGTTATTTTGATAGAGGGGGGAGGGTTTTAGTCGAGGAGTGGGTTGAGTGTGATTTAGTGGTTTAGATTTTGAGAGGGGTTTTTATTTTTGATTAGGGGGTGTTTGAAAGGGAGGTGGGAGATTAGTTGTTTTTAGAGATTTTTTGTTTGTTAGATATTTGAGAGATTTAGTTAGGGTGTGTTTTAGAGATGGAGTAGGGGTTAGAGGGATAGAATTTTTATTTTTAGAAAGGGGGAGGTGGTTGGGTTTAGGAGTGATAGGGTTTGTGGGGGGAGTGGGAGGTGGGATTGGTGATAGGGGTTTGGAGGATGGGATTTGATGGGGGGTTAATTAAGAAGGTTATAGGGAAAGGGGGGTGTTTGGGGGAGGGGGAGGGGTATAATGGGGGTGGAGAGATTTGGTAGGGTTAAAGGGTTAGGAGGAGATTGGTAGGTTTAAAAGTAGGGAGATTTGTAGGTTAAAATGGTAGGAGATTTGGGGGGGGTAGGGTTAAAAATAGATTGGTAGGGTTAAAAATTAGGGAGATTGGTAGGGTTAAAATAGATTTGTAGGGTTAAAATTGGAGGGAGATTTTAGGTTTAAAATAGATTGTAGGGTTTAAGAATTAGGAGGGATTTTGTATTGGGTTGTGGGGGGTATTATAATTTTTTTTATTTTTGGGGTGTGTGAATTGGTTTGTAGGGTATGGTTTTTTGGGAAGGTATGGTTGGGTTTTAAGGTAATTTTAGGGAATTTGAGGGAATTAGAGGGGATGGTGTTTTGTGGTTTGGGTTTTTTATTTTGGGTATGGTTATATTTTATGTAGTTATAGTGGAATAAGAGTTGAAAAGGAAATGTAGATATGAATGAGAGAAAAGGTTTTTTTTATTGATTTTAGAAAGATTTTATTGTTTGTTGTTTATTTATATAAGGGATGGAGAATAATTTGAGGTTGGGTTATTTTTTATGTGGGTTTTTAGTGTTGGGTGGTTGGTGTGTTTTGGTTTAGGGGTAGTGGGGAGGGGTTGTTATTGTGTTTTGGTGATTTGGGGTGTGTGTTGGGGTTTGTTTTTGAGGTTTTTTGGATATTTGTTATGTTTTGATGGGATTTTGGGTGATGGGGTGGTTGGGGTTGTAGTTTGTATATGTGGGGAGTGTATTGGAGTTGTTTGTTGATGTGTTGTGTGATAGGGGGGGAGAGGGTTGTTAAGAATGAAGGGTAATGAAAAAAAAAAAAAGGGGGAGAGGGGGTGTTGGGGAATGGTTGAGAGGTAAGATTTGGAGGGGGGAGAATGGGATATTTTTTAGAGGGGGGTAATTTTAGAGGATATGGGGAATGAGAGAATAATAGAGAGGATAAAGGGTATGGATGGTGTATGGGGGTGGGTGATTGTAATTAGTGGGAGGGTGGGGGGGATGGGGGGGGGTGGGGGTATATTGAGTTGTTTGTTATATGGAGGGTTGGGGGGTTTGGTGTTGTATTTGTGAAAGAGGTTGGTAGATATATTGGGAAGGGATATGATTTGTGGGGGGTAAAAAATTTTATATTTTTTTTGGGAAAGGGTGGAGGTTTGGGGTTGGGTGTGTTAAGGGTAGGAATTTGATATTTAAGGATATGGGTTTTTTATGTATGTTAGTTTGTTGTTATATATTGATGTGGTTGTGTTGGGAGATATGTAGGGGGGGGGTGGGGGAGGGATTGATATTATTTAGGGGATAGGATGGAATTGGATGATTGAATTGGATAATTTGGTGGAAATTGGATGTTGAATTGGGATTTTGGTGGTAATTTGGGTATGAATTGGGGGAATTTGTGGGGAATGTTATTTTGTGGTAGGGGGGGGGGGAATGGAGATATGAGAATATAAGTAGTTGATGAGGATTGGGGGAATTTGGGGAGGGGAATGTGATTGAGAGGGTGGGAGATGGGGAGGTGTTTTTTTTTTATAGGGGGGGTTTTTTTTTTGGGAGAGGGAGAGTTGGGGTATTATTGAAAAGATGGAGGTAATAATAAGGTGTTGGGTATGAGTGATAAGGGAGTGGTTTGGATTATTTTATGGGGGGTTGGGGAATGGGGTTTATATGATAGTTATATGATATTGTATTGTTTGGGGGATTGGTGGTTATTATATGGGTGTAAGAATGATATAGAATATGGGGGGGATGGGGTAGGGAGGATTGTGGTAGTTTATTTTTTGTAGAGGAGGATATGGGTGTTTTGGGTGGGTTAGGGTTATTTTGGGGGGAGATTTGGGGTGTTGAGTTATTTGGGGGTGTGGTGGGTTTATATTTTTTTTTATTTGGGAAATGGGGGTTTTTTGTGGGGGGGGGAGGTGTATGGGATGGGGTGGGATTTGGGGGGTTGGTAGGTGGGTATGGGAAGGGTGGGGGGGGTGGAGATTTAGATTTTGGTAGTAGTGTAGAATTTGTGTTATGGTTGGGTTTGTGTTATGGGTGGGTGGTATTGGGTTTGTTGTTGGGTGGGGGGGGGTGGGGGGTTGGGTTAGTTTTTTTGGTGGGTTGTGGTTGTTTAGTTGGGGTTTGGGTTTTTTGATAGGTAGATTTTGTTAGGTTGGAAGATTATTTAGAGGGGGGAGTTTGTTGAAGTTTATTGTGGTGGGTTTTGTTTTTGGTGGGTGATGGGGGATGGGGGTAGGGGGGTGGAGTGTTGTTGTGTGGTGGGGTAGGTAATGAATGTTGTATGGGTGTTATGGGTGGTGGGGTGGTTAGGGTGAGGGTGAATGGAGGTTGAATGGGAGGGGAGAATTGTGTTTTATGATAGTTTGTAAAGAGTGGGTGAATATTGTTAGGATGAGATGGTGGTAGTATGGGAGGGGATGGGGGGGAGGGGGGGAGTTGGGGGTTGGGAGGGGAAATTTATATTATTATGATGGATGATGGTGTAGGTGTTGGGATTGGGTTGGTTATAATAAGGAGAGGTTAATTGTGTAGTAATTAGTGTAGTGGGGGAGGGGATATGTGGGGAGGGGGGGAGGTGAGAGATTGGAGTGGATGGGGGATATGTTTGTGTATATGTTGTGGGTTAGTGTTATTTATGTATTTTATAGGTGATTGGGTTTGTTGGAGAATATGGGAGAAGGGGTTATTGGTATTTGAGGGGGGATGGTGATGGTTGGGTTGTATTGGAGAGGGGGTGTTATGTTGATGGGAGGTGGGAAGGGGTGGGGGTATTTTGTTTAGGTGATATAGTTTGTGGGAGAAAGGGTTTTATTTAGAGGGAGGGAGGGGGGGGGGGATTTATTGTTTTTAGGTTAGAGGATTTTTATTTGAGGATTGAGTGGTTGTTTTGTTAGGGTGAGGGTATGTAGTTATGGGGATGTTATATTTTGGGGGGGTGGGGGGGGGGGTTTGGGGGGTATGGGTTTATTTTGTGTGGTATGTGGGGGGGGGGGGGGGGGGAGTGGGTATAGTAGGTGTAGGGTGGGGGGGGGGTTATTGTGTTTATTTTTAGGTTGGGGTTGTTAAGGTGTTTTTATGGGGGGTTTGGGGTTTAGATGTTGGAGTGATTGGATGTTAATGTAGTGGGAAAGGGGGGAAATAATGGTTGAGTTTTAAAATATTTTAGTAGGGGGGGATAAGGGGGATTGGTAGTGGTGAGAATGAGGAAGAGAGGGTGTTGTATAGGATGAGTGGGGTGATGGGGGGGGAGGGAGGAGGGAGAGTAATGAGTATTGTTTTATGGGAAGGAGGTAGTTGGTTTAATGAAATGTAGGGAGATGAAGAGGATGGGGGGGGGTTGGGTGGGAAAGGGAGGTATGAGTTTTAGTTGTAGGGGGGGGTATATTTTTGGGGGGGGGGGTTAATTTTAGGGTTTTAAGATTTGTGTTGGGATGAGGGTGATGATATGGGGTATTGAGATTATGAAAAAAATGTGGAATGATGATGGGGTGAGGAGTTATTGTATTATAATGAGAAGAGGTGAGGTATAATGGGGGGGTTATTTGGTGGTATATTGGGGGGGGTATGGTGGGGGTTATTGAGGGGGGTGGGATTGGGGGTATGTTTGGGGGGGTAGTTGGTGGGAGTTGAGGGTATAGTTGTTTAGGTGGGGGGGTTTTATAGATATTTTTGGATAGGAGTGGGGGGAGATATATTTGGATAAGGGTTTTTGATTATATGTGTTGGTAGGGGGGGGATTGATTGTAGGTTAATAATGATAGTGGTTGGGTGGGGTAGTTTGGGGGGTATTGGGGGGGTGTTTTGAGTTTATGGGTGTGGGGGTTGGTTATTGGGGTGGGGGGGTTGTGGTGGGGTGTGGGTGGAGGGGTAGAGGGTGAAGGGTGGGATATAGTTGGGGTGTATTTGGGGGTTGGGGGGTGTGGGATGTTATAGGGGTTATTTAGGGGGGGTTTGGGTTTAAGAGATGGAGTATTGGGAGATGTTAATGTAGGGGAAAGGGGGGGGGGAGTGAGGTTGGAATTGAGTATGGGGATATAAGGGGATAGAGTGGGGTGGGGAGAATGGAAGAAGAGAGGGTTTGTATAGGATGGAGTGGGTGAGGTGAGGGGGAGGGGGAGGGGGAGAAGAGAATGATATTGTTTTATGGTGGAGGAGTTGTTTTAATTGAAATTTAGGGGCTGAGGAGATTGATTTGATGTTTGTGGGTTTTATGTATGATGTATGTATGATGTATAATATATTGGTATGTGTTTGGGGGTGGGTAGAGATAGTTTGTATGAGGGGGTTATGGTTAGTGTGGATTGGGGGGGGGGGGTTTGGTGAGATAATTGTGAGTGGGGGGTGGGTTTTTTATTTTGGGTTGGGATATGGTTTTTTGTTGTTGTTGGGAGGGGGGGGGTATTGTTATATTGGTTGAGGTGTTGGGGTTTTTTTTGTGTTGGGGTGGTGTTGGGGTGGGGGGTGGTTTGGGGTTGGGGTTGGTTTTTGGGGTTGGTTATTATGGGTATGGGGGGGGTGAGTTGGGGGGGGGGGTGTGTGGTTTTTTTGGGGGTGTGGTGTTTTGTTGGGGGGGGTTGTGTGTGTTTTTTTTGGGTTGTTGTTTGGGTATTTGTGGTGGTGTTTGGTTGGGTGTGGGTTGGGTTGGTTGTGGGTGGTTTGGTGGGGGGGGGTGTTTGTGGGGTGTTTGGTTGTTTGGGTTGGGTTTTGGGTTGTTTGTTTATATGGGTTGGTGTTTTTTGATTTTGGTGGTGGATGGATTGTGATTGGGGTGGTTGGGGGTTTGTTAGGTGGGGGAGGAGGGGGGTTGGGTTGGTTGGTTGTGGTGGTGGTTGGAATGGTGGTGGAGTGATTTGATTAGGGGGATTGGAGTTTGTGAAATTTTAGTAATAATGGTTGGGGGTTGATTTTTTTGGTTGTTAGGTTTTTTATTTGTTTTATTGGGGGTAAGTAATAGAGTGGGAGGAGAGGGGGAGTGGGAGGGGAATGGGGGGATGTGAAAGGATGAAAGGAGGGTGGAGGGGAGTGTGGTTTGGTTTGGTGTGGTAGAGGGGGGGGTGGAGGAGTGGGTATGGAGGGGGGAGGAGGTTGGGATGAATAGATTTATTTAATGAGGTATTGGTAGGGATGTGGGAGATATGGATGAGGAGAAAATTTTTGGGGGTTTGTTAGGTTGGGTGGTTGAGTTTTAGGTGTTATTGTGGTTATGTATAGTGGGTTGGGATTAATTGGGGGGTTTTGGTTTTATTTGGTGTGTTGTTGGGGGGGTTGTTTTTATTGGGATTTTTTTTGGTATGAAAGTGGTGGTAGGGGGTAGATTAGAATAGGTATGAATTGGGGGGAAATGTGAATGATATGTGTGTAGGTTGATTGGGTTGGTGTTTGTGGGTAATGGTGGGTTTTTTGTGGTGTTGGGGTAGGGTGGGAGAGGTAGAGGTTTTTGATGGATTTTGATTATATGTGTATGGAATATGATAAGGGTTATATTTAATTGGGGTATATGGGAAGGGGTATGTTTTTGTGTATGAGGTGTTAGGTAGTTGGGATATATTGATTAATTTAGTGTGATTAATTTGGGAAGATGGATTTAATGGGGGAGAATGGAAAATGAGTTTTGGGTTAATGAGGATTATGTTGAGAGGGAGTTATGGGTGGGGATAATGGGGGGGTGTAATAAGTTGTAGAGGGAAGTGAGTTAATGGGTTAAGAATAAGGGATTTTGTTGTGGGGGGATTAATGAGAGTGGAAATTTTAGGGTTGGGGGGTTTTATATTTTATTTGGTAATTAGGTAGTGAGGTGGAATGGTGATGAGAAAGGAAGGAAGTTGTTGAGTGAAAGGGAGATTTTGGGGGATAAAGAAAGGGGGGAAATTGGGGGTGGTTTTTGGGGAAGGGAGGGATGGTGGGAGGAGGGGGGGGGTATGGTGAATTATGGTGGGGAATTAGTTTGTGGGTGGTATGGTATATGGTGATTGATATTTTTTTTATGGTGTATGGGGAGGAGGGGGGGGGGAGGTGTGGGATGGGGGGGTTATGTGTTGGGATGTAGGGGGGGGGGTGGGATTTGGGGGGGTTGGAAGAGGGTGTGTATGATGGGGGTGTAATGGAGAGTGTATTTTGTTTGGGGTGTGGGAGGGGTGGGTGGGGTTTGTGATTTGTTTAGGGGGGTATGAATTATGGAAGGGTGGGTGGGGGTGGGTTAGTAGAAGTTTGGTTTTAAAGAGGGGGGGGGGGGGGGGGAATTGATGGGGGGGGGAGAAGGGTTTATATGAAATTAGGTGGAGGTTTTATTTATTATGAGATTGTTTATGGAAGTGTTGGGTAAGTGTGGGTGAGGGTTGTGAGATGTATATGTTGTAAATGATTGGGGGAGGTTGGATTGAAGAAAGGGAAGAGGAGGATAGAGTGGTGATGGGGGGGGGTTGATGGTTGTAAGGTTGGTGGGGTTTGAGAGGGTGGTGGTTAGGTGGTATTAGATGGATGGATATATGGGTTTAGGGTGGACAGGGAGGATGGGTGGGGTTGTGTGTGGGGGTGGTTGGGGGAGTTATAGGGATGGGTTGGGGGGAGGGATGGTGAAGGTATTGAAGGGGAGGGAATGGGGTGAAGTGTTGTTTGAAGTTTGGTTTTTGGGGTAAGGGGGAGGAGGGATGTTTAGTGTGTGGGGGTTGGGTGAGGGAATTGGGTATGGTAGGGATGGGAAATGAGGAGGGGGGGGTGTATTTGGGGTTGGAGATTTTTGATGGATGTTGGATTTGGGATTGGGGGAGTAGTTGAATATGTGTGGGGTGTGGGTAGGGGGGAAAAGGATTGATTAAATTGATTGTTGTTTTATTTATATGTGGAATGAAATGTGGGGGTTGGGTTTTTATGTGTATATTATTATTTTTTGGTATGTTGTGGATGGGTGAGGAGGAAGGTTGTTGGGGGAATTTTGTATTATTGGGGGGGGGGGGAGTGAAAGAGGTATTTGAAAGAGTGGGTTTATTTTGTGTGGTTATATTGTTGATATATGAGGAGGGGGTTTTTATTTTATAGGGGGGGATAGTTAAGATATGTATGGGATTTATGGTGATGGATGGGATTGTGGTGGTTGTATTTTAAGCTGTTGTAGGGAGGGTAATAGTGTTTGGTTTGTTAGAAGAGTTTTTAGGGTGATTTTGTTATGGGAGAGATTGGATGGGGGGTTGATGGGTATTGAGATAGGGAAGTATTTTGAGGGGGGATGAGATGGAAGTTTGGGTATTTAGTGAAGGTAGGTGTGGAATGTGGGGGGGGTTGGGGGGTTTGTATATATGAATAGTTAGGGTGGTGTATTAAAGGAGTGTTAAGGTAAAAGGGGAAGGTAGGAGGATTGTTGATTTTTGTAGTATTGGATGATTGGGGGGGGGGATGGGGGGGTGTAAAAATTTTTTAATTAAAAAAAGATTTTTATGGGGAGGGATGTGGGGGATAAAGATTTGAATGGGGGGTGATTTGAGGAGGGGTATAATATGAAATTTGGTGAGGGGTGGTGGTGAGGGTAGGGGGGTGAATGGTTGTTTATTTGGTTGGATGGATTTTTTATGAGGTGGTGGGGGTGAGGTGGTATTGGGGGTGATGGAGTAGTTTTGATTTTTGGTATAGGGGTGATTATTGAATTGGGTTAGTTGTAGATTTGTTGGGTATTTTTTTGGGAAAAATAATATTAAGTTAAGGTGTAATATGGGTGAATGAGGGATGGGGGGGGGTAAATTTGGAGGGGGTAAAGTAATGAATTGGGGATGAGTTTATTTAGATGATTAATATTAGGGGAATTAGGAGTGGGAAGTGGGATGTGAAGATGGTTGGGTTAAGTGGGGAGGGGGGGGTGGGTATGGATAAAGGGTAGGAGGGAGATGTATATGAGAGGATTGGGGTATATGGGGGGGTTTTGAGAGAGGGTGTTTTTTTGGTTTTATTGGGTGGTGGTGGGTGTGGATGTGTTGATAGATGGGGATTGGATATTGGGTTTGTTTGTTGGGGTGAGGGGGATTTTTGTGGGTTTGGTGAGTTTGGGGGTTTGGGTTGGGTGTGTAGTTGGGTTGGGTTTGTTGTTTTTTTTGGTTTTGTGTTTTTGGGTATTGGTGTGGGTGAGGTTTTGTGTGGGCGGTGGTGTATGTGTGTGGGGGTTTTGATTAGTGTGTGGGGTTGGGTTTAGGTTGTGTGAGTGTGGTATTGGTGGTGTGTTTGGGGGGGGTGGTGGTGATGGGTGTGTTGGTGGATGGTGGTGGGTTTGGGGTTTTTAGTGTGGTATTATGGGGTGGTTTTTTTGGGGTTTGGTTGTTGTTTGTGGGAGGAGGGTAGAAGGTAGGTTTATATGTGGGAGGGGGGATTTTGGATTGGATTGGGTGGGGTATATATTGGATGTTTTTGATTGGATTTGGGAGTTTTTTAATTGTTAGGGTGTGTGGGGGAGTGGGGGTTTTTTGGTTTGGATGTGGGTTTTTTTTAGTAATTTGAAAAGAAAAAGGAAGGGAGGTGGGGGGGGGGGGGAAGTTATTGATTGATTAATTGGGTTTGGGTTGATGTTGTTATATGGGTGTTGTGTATGGTGGTTATGTATGATTGGGGATGTTGGGTGGGTGGTTAAGGATGTATTTTTGTTGGGGGTTGGGGATATATTTTATTTTATTTGATGATTGGTTATTTTAGTATTATGATGGATTGGTGGGGGTGTGTTAGTGTAGGAGTGTGTTTGGGGTAGATAGATGGGATTGAGGGGGAGGGGATGGTGGGAATTTAAGTTGGTAGGTGGAGGTAGAGAAAGTTTATTTAAAGTGATGAAATAGTATATGAAAAGGTGTGGTATAAAGGGGATGATAGGGGGTGGTGTGTTTAGATAATAGGGTGGGGGGTGAGTGTGAGTTTTTGGTTAGGTAAAGGTTGTGGAATTTGTTGTTTTGTGGTGGGGTTGATGAGGTGTATTGGGGATGGGTGGTATTGGAGGATTGTGTTGGATGGGTTGGGATATTGTGATTGGATGTTTTTTTGATATGGTGTTGGTTTTTGAAGGGAGTATGGGATTTATGATAGTTGGTTGGGGATTAATTATTTTGGGGTTTGGAGTGGAGAGTGTATATTGAATGGTTTGTAAGTGGTAGTATGGTGTATTGGATTGGTTATTGGGGTGTAGAATTTGGTTTGTTTTGGTTTTGAGAGAGTTATTGATTTTTTATTATTTTTTTGTTTTGGGGAGTTGAGGGTGGGGTAAGAGTGGGGGTGTGGATGTAGTTTATTGTGGTGTTTTGGTGATTGATTGATGTGTGTTAGTGGTAGGTTTTGTTGTTTGGGTTTTATATGGTGGTGGATTATTTGGGTATGGGTTTGGGGGGGATGGTGTTTTTGAGGGGTTTGGGGGAGGGGGGGGGGTGTTGTGTGGTTTGTTTTTGTTGGTGTTTGAGTTTTGGTGGTTTGGATGATGTAGGTTTGGGTGTGTTTGTTTTGGGGTGTGGGTTGTGGTAGTTGGTAGGGATGTGGTAGTGTAGATTTTGAATATGGAGGAATTGGGTTGTTAGTTGATTAGTATTTGGGGAGGGGGTTTGATGTAGGAAATTGGAAGATATTGAGAGAGGATGTGAGATGGGGGGGGGGGATGTGGAGATTTATTAAGAATGGTGGTTTAGTTGGTTTTAGTTATTTGTTGAAGTTTATGAAAAGGTGATAAATGGGTTGTAGTTAGTGTTGGAGGTTGAATTGAAGAGATGGTGGGAAGTGTGGATTGGTGTGGGGGGGGGGGGGGGGGGGATGGTTTTTAGGTGGGGGGGGGGGGGGAGTTTGAGGTTGTTTGATGGTGGGGTTTTAAGATGGGGATGGGGGTTGTTGGTGTGGGTGTTGGGGGGGGAGTTTGTTATGGTTTGTGGTGGGTGGGGGTATTTATTAATTGATTTTTTGTGGTAGGAGTGGGGGATTTGATGTAAAGAGTGAGAGGGGGTTATTTAGAATGTTATGGATAGTGTTGGTGATGGGGGTGGATAAGGTTGGAAGGGGGTGTTGGAGGTAGTTTTTAGGAAGGAAGGGGGGATGGGTATGTAGGGGAATGTGGTATTTAGATTATTAATAGGGGGGGATAGGTTGGTTGAGGGGGGGAGAGGATTAATTGGGGTTGAGGAATGGTTTTGGTTGTGTTAGAGATAAAATAGGGTGGGTATAGTGAATTAGATAAGGGTTGTATTTGGAAGGTGATGAATTGATATGGAAAATTAGATGGATTGGGTGGATGGGTATGATATTGTATGAGGAGGTGGGATTTATTGGATGATTTTGGGGTTGGTTTTGTTGGTTAGGGGTTGGTAGGGGTTAGGGGGATGGGGGGGGGGGGTGAATTAAAGGGGAGGTGGGAGTTTAGGAGTGAGTAGGTTTTGGATATTATATATTAAATGAGAGTTGGTTTTGGGGGATTTTGGTGTTTTGTGAATGTAATTGGAGTTATTTGAAATGGGGGTTGATTGATGTTTAATTAGATTAGTTTAATAGGGGGTTTTTAAGAGAGGGTGATTTGTAAGAGAGGGTTATATGTTGGGGATTTGAGTTGATGTGGGAGTATATGATGGTTTAATATAAGGGGGAAAAGAAGGATTAGTTTTAAGTTAGTGGTATTGGATATGTGGAGATTAGTTTGTGTATTTTGTATGGTGGGGTTTTTGGGGAAGGAGGGGGTGTGAGATGGGATAGGGGATTATGTAGGGGTGGGGGGTGGATTTGGTGATTATTATGGTTTGATGGGTGAATGAAGGAAGGTGATTAGGGGAGTGAGGGGGGGGGGTTTGTGGGGAGGGATAGATGGGGGTGGAAAGGGTGGTAATTGGGTATTGGTAGATTTAAAATTATGGGTAAATGGGGGAGTGGATAGGAAAATGATGTGTTTTATATGGGGATGTTTAGATTTGATGATATTAGGGGGGGGTTATGTATGTTTGGAAGTGGTAGGTTGGGAAGAAATGTGAAACGCACACACACGCTTCCCTCACAGCCGACGGATCAACAGAGGCTCCTACAAGTATTATTATAGCTGCATTAATTCAAAAGCATTCAGAAAGACAGCAAATGACAGCAGCAACATACCTGCAGCTTCTTTCCCAACCCGCTTCTACCGGCAACCACACAGTCTGTCAATATGGCTACTGACGGTCATGTGACTGATAGACGTGATGACGTATATTATGCACGCAGCGCGCAGTGAAAAATATATTTAACTTATTTTATATTTTACACATTATATATATTTATATATATATATATATATATATATATATATGGTTTTTAACCTGGGTTACATCTTCCCCCTCTAAAATCATGCAACTCCCAATGCATGGCTAAACATCATAAACAGGAGGATGCAACAGATCGGATGCTACAGAGGTAGGAAGTGCACTGCTGTATGCATCAAGCAACCCATGAAAGAGTGTCTGTACAACAGAAATAAGCGGACGCCCCAATGCTGAATACTGAAGGCGATCGGGCGGTTGGCGCTGTCGACTAGAACGTCGCAAAACTGTATCGGATTCAACTGCGGTAACGGGCGGCGTATTAGGTACTCTAACTGCTTCGATTGGACTGAGCAATGACTCATCGGTATTGGATGATGCCTCTGCTTGGCCAGGGAGCTCTTGTTCTTCAGTCGTTTCCTCGATAAGGAGTTCTTCAGATATTGGATCTTCACCAGGCTCTGGCTCTTCAGTCACAAGCGGATGTGTTTCAGCGGTAGCAGAGGAATCTCCATCTTGAGGTAAGTTGTTTTCTTCTTCCACAGGTGAATCAATATGCGGAAGCGAAAGGCTGACATCTGCAGAGGATTTGGGGTCTCTGATTCCAAGCTCAGCCACATCATTGGAGAGAGGACAAACACCACTGAATGTAAATGAGGCTGGCTGTATTTGAGCTTGAGGCAACTCCCATCCTCCATCTTCATCCTGATCTTCATCCAAATCCTCAGTTACCTGATTCTGGCTTCGGGTTTGAGGACGACGTGGTGGGGTAATAGCCGTAACTTCCAAATCATCATCATCTGGCAGGAACGGACAAGGAAGGAGGAGATCGCGATGCAGGGTACGGATCGGTCCCTCCCTGTTCTCAACACACACGGTGTACACTGGTAAGTTGCCTGCACGTTTCAGGACGGTGTAAACATCACGCTCCCATTTATTCTCAAGTTTATGCTTCCCACGAAGTCTGACATTGCGAACAAGCACTCTGTCTCCTACCTCCAGGCTGGAGGGAGTCACTCGCTTGTCAAATCGAATCTTATTTCTTTCGCCTGATTTGGCAGCATTCTTGGCCGCAATATCAAAACTTTCTTTGAGTCTGGATCGGAGGCTTTCGACATTTTGGAAATGAGATGTCGTCTGGTTCTTCTGCAGAGGGAGGCCAAAAGCGAGATCCACTGGAAGACGCGGCGAACGACCGAACATCAACTCGTACGGTGTAAAACCAGTGACGTCATTTCGAGTGCAGTTGTACGCGTGCACTAGTGGCTTCACATAGTCCTTCCACCTCGCCTTCTGCTTCTTCTGGATTCCCTCGGGGATGGTAAGGAGTTGTCCTGGATTTTTGGATACCAGCGAGATGGCAAAGCTCCTTGATCAACTTTGATTCGAAGTCAGGACCTTGGTCCGTGTGTAGTCGCTCCGGTATACCATAACAAACAATAAAGTTCTCCCACAAGCATTTGGCCACAGTCCTTGCCTTCTGATTTGCAGTGGGAAGAGCTATGGCAAACTTTGTAAAATGATCAGTAATAACAAGAATGTCCTTTGTGTTGCTTTGATCTGGTTCAAGTGATAGATAGTCCATGCAAATCAATTCCAAGGGCCGTGTTGTTTGGATGTTGACCAATGGTGCAGATCTTTCTGGAAGAGCTTTGCGCCTGACACAACGACTGCACGTTCTGATTTTGGACTCTACATCAGCTGCCATATGAGGCCAAAAGAAACGGCATCGCACGAGATCTAACGTTCGTTCGATGCCCATGTGCCCCATGTCATCGTGAAGGCTTGTTAGAACGATCGACCTTAGCTCTTCAGGTAACACCAACTGGAATGAAACTTGTTCCCTCTCTTGCCTTCTCCGATACAAGATGTCCTCTTGTAGCTCAAGACGGTTAAGTTCTCTCAGCAGCAGTGCTAAGTCTGGGAGTTCATGCTTGGCGGTAGGAGGTACTTTTTCTCCACTTTCCATCTGATAGATGACCTCCCGTATCACTGGATCAGCACGTTGCTTCTCTCTGAGCTGGGCTTTTGATAGTGTGGGGACGACCGGAAGACCATTGTCAGCTTCCCTGGCATAACATTCTGGAACGGCATCTGCTGATAAACTCAAGGACTCAACCAGGGTGATTGGACGCTCTGTGGAGCTGCTTTGATGGCTGTTGACGAGACAGCGGTGGCATATGGCAGACACAACATCAGAGTCCAGATCCTCAACTTCACTTGGGTCCATGACGTGTTCTTGAGTGAACTTATTTATTAAATCCCAGTCTTTTTGTACCACAACGTCAGCACGCGGAGGGTGAGGGCGGCGAGAAAGAGCATCAGCATCGAGGTTCTGAGTTCCTGCTCTGTACTGCAGTTTGAATGTGTAGGTGGAAAGGGCAGCGAGCCACCTGTGGCTAGCGGCGTCCAGCTTTGCTGATGTTAAAAGGTAAGTGAGTGGGTTGTTATCTGTCACTACCAAAAAGTGGGCCCCGTATAGATAATCGTGTAGCTTCTCTGTCACACTCCACTTCAAAGCAAGAAATTCAAGCTTGTGTGCCGGATACCTCGATTCACTGGGTGACAACCCTCGGCTAGCGTAAGCAATCACCCGCAGTTGCCCTTCTTGCTCTTGATATAAAGCCGCTCCGAGCCCTGTAGTACTGGCATCAGTATGTAATATGTATGGCAGCTTTGGGTCGGCAAAACCCAAGACCGGGGAACTCATCAGCTTCTCAATCAACGTTTCAAAGGCGGATTGGCATGCTAGAGACCATCGCTCTCCAAAAGGCTGCTTCACATCATAGCTCTGGTCTGGACTGGGCTTCGCTCGGTTCTTGGAAGTGGGTGCATAACCACGTGTGAGGTCATTTAACGGTTTAGCGATGGCAGCATAACTTTTGATGAACCTCCTGTAATAGCCAGCAAAACCTAAGAATGAACGGAGCTCTTTGAGTGTTTTGGGAACTGGCCAGGATTTCAGAGCTTGAAGCTTATCTGGATCCGTCTTCACTCCCTCCTCTGACACAATGTGCCCCAGATATCTCACCGACGTCTGGAAAAACTTGCACTTTTCCGGAGAGAGCTTCAGGCCGTACTGCTTCAACCGATGAAGCACCCGCAGCAACCTCTGCTCATGTTCTTCCAATGAACTGGAAAATAAAATCAGATCATCAAGAAAAACACGCACTTCTTGCAAATTGAGGTCTCCCATGCATTTCTCCATTAGCCGTTGGAAAGTACTCGGCGCATTTGTTACCCCTTGAGGCATGCGAT